AAAAATTTGCCTTCTACTAGTAATATAAAATTAATTAACCTAAATTCTAAATTTAATTAACTTTTAAATTTAAATAATTTTAATAAATTTATAAACTTTTCCAAATTTTAATAAATTCTAATAATAAATTATTATTATTCCAATGAATAATTAATTCATATTTAAATTTAACTCTAAAGAAATAGAAATTCATTTACATGTTTAATTAATCAGCTAATAAATTAATTACCATGTAAATTTATAAACAAACAAAAAATTTCATGACGCAAATATATTTCATTATATTCGAAAAATTGTTCAATTTCTTTTTAAAGAAAAGAATTTTTAAATTTAAAACAGAAAAAAATGAAAAAGAAAAAAAAATAGAAAAAAAGTAGAAAGAAAAAAAAGTAAAGCAGAAAAAAGGGATAAAGTTAAAAGAATTTTAAATCTAAAAATAAATGCAAAAGAAACAAAAAGTAATTTTTATCAAAACATTTTCAATCCAATATTTTTGACCCCTATAAAAGTAACAAGCTTAAAATGTATCAAGAAAATGAATCAAAAAAATCGAAAAAAAAATATTGAAACAATTTTTTCTCGTATCTATTGATATCAAACTTCAAAGTGAAATTTTTTTTATCTATTATTTTTCCCTTTTCAGAATATTTATCCTAACAAATAATAATAATAATAGTAGTTTTTTGTTTGTTTGACCGTATTATATATTTTGTAGGATAATGACGTATCTAGGCCTTTTCATTATCCTACAAAATAATAATAATAATAATAATAATAATAATAATAATAATAATAATAATAATAATAATAATAATAATAATAATAATAATAATAATAATAATAATAATAATAATAATAATAATAATAATAATAATAATAATAATAATAATAATAATAATAATAATAATAATAATAATAATAAAAACACAAAACCGTGAAAATTGATTCTTTTGTCATTATTTGACACATTATAGCCTCTATTGTGAATTATGTTAAAAACTTTGTTACAATTTTTAAAGTAAATTTTCCTTAAAATAAAATTTTCCATTTCGCCAAGAATTAATAGATTTTTAAATAAAATAGAAAATTTAAAAAAATAACTCTTTCTGCAAAAAATAGAATGAACAATAATTTTCATTCCATTGAATAATTTTTTCGATTAAAAAATAAAAAAAAAGAATACAAAAACCATCTCTCGTTCGTAAATTGTATATTGCCACACAAATATTATATAGAAGGATGAAAGAAGAAATATGCTCGCGAGGAAAGAAAAATTATATAAACAAGAAAATAATAAATCACATCGTCTATATAAATCAGCCATAATATATATATATAGATTCCTTATAGGGCTTCGTTCATAAAAAAAAAAAAAGGCAAGCTTTAATCATTTTTGCACACACACCTCTCATGCATCGTGCCAAGTAGGATATTTCTCTTCTATACACACTTTTCTCTAAAATCGTGAATCTCACTCAGATTCTTATTCCCAGTTTCATTCAGATTGATTTCAGTCTTTTATAAAAAAAAATTTCTTATTTCTGCACAAAAAACAATCAAAGAGAATTAAAAAAGAAAAAATATGATTCTTGGGAAAATTCACCGTTCATTAGATTTCTGCTCTACTTCTTTTCTTTCTGAAACACTAATTTTATGTGCACAGCTGCAAATTCACAGTAGTTTTTTTTATCACCTCAATCACATAAATATATATCACATATATACACAATAAAAAAACCTATATATAGACATGCTTTTTAGTCGCATTTGTATTTTGTCTGTGTTGTTGAAATTGTTTATGTACATTAAGTCTTATGATATTGTTATTATTATTGCTGCTGCTGCCGAGCTGTGACTTTTGGGACAAGTCGAAAAAAATTATTTCACAATTACATTTTGTATGCATAATTCAATGATTTTTATATATTATTATGTTATATAATTATAATTTATAATATTTATACATATTTAATTATATGTATCTTAATATATTCATAAAATTATAAACATATGTATATAAATAATATGCTTGATATTTTTTTAATTAATAGTAAACAAAAAATTCTTTTGATAAAAGATTAATAATTGTTTTTGTTTTGTAATTTTTCTATAAAGAAATATATAGAATAAAAAAATTATAATTATAATTTTACTCTAAAAAAGAATATAATACAGAAAAAAGAAAAAAAGTTGTTTTGTAATTTTACTATCACACAAAAATGCGGAATAATATTAAAAATCTAGTATTATTATTTTACTCCAACTAATATAATACAGAATAAATAAAAAAATATCGAATTATAATTTTACTCTAAAGAAAATATAAAATAAATTTTAAAAAAATTTATTTTTGTAGTTTTGTAAATAATATAAATTTAAAAAATTTAGCATTATAATTTTGCTTCAAAAGAATTTACTATACACTGAAAAAAAAAGTTCATTGAATCAAGTAAATGCATTTTCTTGACCTGATTTATTTGAAACAAACCCATATTTTCTTATTGGAAGAAATTTATTTTCTTGTGTCAAGTAATTTTGAGCATTAATCAAAGTTATTGAAATAAGAAAATATGGGTTTGACATAAGTAAATATCTTACTGTTTCAAACGAACTGTTTTACATGCGCCAAGTCTCGAAAAAGTATTGAATCAAGAATATCATGTTCTCACGTCAAGTAATTTACCTTGAGTCATTTGGTATCTTGAGTCAAATCATTTTTTTATTTCCTTTAAAGCAACTATTTATTTCATCCAACACCCATAGTCTTGAGCCAAGAAAATGGGAAGATTAATACAAGTTAATAATTGTTTCAAATCAATTAAAAATTATTTTGTTTCAAAGAAATATTAATTAATCTAAGCATTTCTTTTACTTGAAGCATTTCTATATTCTCATGTTTCAAAATCATTAATTTCTTGCGAGAATGTTATATTTTCTGGAATGAAATATTTTATTTATTCAATTCAATTAAGTGTAAGATCTTGAATTAAATCATTCTTTTGTTTCCTTTAAAAAAGTTTTTACTTAATTCAACGCTCATATAATCCTGATTCAAGAAAATACGAAGGTTAATATAAGTAAATATTTGTTTCAAGTTGATTAAAAATTATATTCAATTAATCCCATATTTATTTGAAGAAAGAAATTCATTTTCTTGTGTCAAGTAATTATTAGCATTGAACAGAATTCTTGAATTAACAATTTAGTATTTGTCAGAACTCAATATGTAATTATTTCAACCAAATATTTTACTTTTCCGAAGTACCAAAAAGTATTGAATCTAGAATATATGTTCTTAAGCGAAATAATAAAGTATTGTCTGGAGAATTCATGTTTCTTGAATCGAATCATTTTATTTATTTGCTTTGAAATTTTTTTTTACTTAACACAATACCGGTGTTCTTGATCCAAGAAAATATTTTTCTTCAAATGTATATGCAACTTAAATATCAGTTTTTGAAAACTGTCCATTGAGGCTAGGATGGCATAGTGGTAGCGTGACGGCTTCTGGTGCGTGCAACCCGAGTTCAATTCCTCCGACCGTGGAAATTAAATAATAAAAATGTTTGACCTAAGTATTAGAAAAGATGGGATGGGGGTAAGGGGGGGGGGGGTAATTTAAGTAAATAATTTACTTGTATTGAGAAAGTATTTTTTTGATTGAAATCTATAAATTTTCTCAAATCAAGAAAATATTTTCTCGGACAGAGAACATACTTTCTTGATTTGATACATAAATGATTTTGAATTAATATATTCTGCATTTCTTACATGCTACTTAATTTCTTGATCGAATTCCATATTTTCTTGGATCAAGAATATCTGCGTTCTCTCACAAAATAAATGTTTTCTTCATTTAAATCTTGAATTACTTGAACGAACGTTACAAAAAATTGGATGAATCAAATAAAATAATTCAATTAACTATATATATTCTTAGAACAAGAAAATATTTTATTCATTTAATACATTTCATACTTCGTATAAGAAGACTAACTTCTTGGTCGAATTCCATATTTTCTTGGATCAAGAATATATGTTCTTCTCCCAAATATCCTATGTCAAGAAAATCGTTTTCTTGAATCAATACTTTAATAGTCTTGGCCGTATTCAATCCCACGATTTGCTTCAACCAAGAAAAATTTTCTTGGTTCAATACTTTTTTTTTCAGTGTAGAAGAAATAAAAATTTCAGTTTTGTAATTTTTCTATAAAGATTATAAATACGGATTAAATGAAAAGAGTAGTTTGGTAATTTTACTATTAAAAATTGAGCAATAAAATTTTACTGCAAAAATAATTAAATATAGAATCAATAAAAAAAAATCTAGTATTACAATTTTACGATAAAAAGAATATTAAAGCAGAAGAAGTAAAAATAAGTATTTTTGTAATTTTACTATAAAAAATAAAATAGAGAATAAATAAACACTGAAATAGTAAAATAGGAAAATTACAAAACTTTTCTATAAAGAATAAACTGTAGAATAAATAGAAAAATTCAGAATTATTGCATAAACAATATTTTAGAGTATAATTATTAATTATAGAAAATTGTAAGATAATAAAAAGAAAAAAAAAGAAAAAAATAGTAAAAATAGTACCTAAACATCGAAGAAAATAGAATCGATAGAAAATATAAGATTGAAGTTAATAAAAAAACAGAAAATAAATATTTAATAACGAAAATAAAATTAACAATAGAAGCAACAAAAAATTTTTTTCGAAAGCTCGGCAGTTTTACAAGTGAAGGTAGTTTTTTTTGGTAAATTTTTTTTTCAAATATTTTCAATTTTTTTAGTTTGGTTTTTTTAGAGACTAGCCACACAATAATCTAGTCTTGGCCTAGTCAATATTAAAATAGTGTCATTGTTTCCGTATATTTTAAATAAATATTTAAAAAAATACGGCTACTGTTTTTTTCAATTTATTTTTTGTTTTTTGTTTGATAATTTTATTCACGTTTATAAGGACGTGTATGTGTGTGTGTATGTTGCGTAGTCTGCAGAAACAGGTCAGCGTTATGAGTATGAACTTGAGTGCCAAGCTGGACGAGCTGCAGCAACGGGGTGACCGTCAGCTGGAAACGACTGTCGCCCTATGTGAGATACGCACGCAACTGCAGGAGCTGACGAAGAGTGTCGAGTCCTGTCAAAGTGAGGTCAGCGAAGTCAAGAGGGACATGGTCGCGATTAAGGTGATAGTCCTCAATTTTCCTTTATTTTCCCTCCAATCACTTTTAATTATGAATTTTCAATTTTTCATTTTAATTCATTTGAATTTTTAATCACACTTTGCAATTACTCTCTAAATTTGAATCAGCGAAAAGTCGCTGATTCACCAGCCCAGAGTATGCAGCTGATGAAATAGCGTATATACACTGATGAAACAGCGTATATGCACTGATTTTCCAGCGTATATACGCTGTTTCATCAGCTGCATACTCTGGGCTGGTGAATCAGCGACTTTTCGCTGATTCAAATTTAGAGAGTATGTTTACAAAAAATTGTATTCAAGTAGTATTTTATATTATTTTTTAATTTAATTTTTACTGAAGAATTAATAATATTATGATGATAATAATAATAAAAAAATTAATATCAACATCAATTAATAATATTAATAATAATAATAATAATAATAATAATAATAATAATAATCAAAATACTATTAGTTATTGAACGAAATTTTAATTATTCGAATTTTTATTTATCATCGTATTTATTTAAAAATTTATTTAACAAATTTATTTAATTTATTTATTATATAAAATTATTTAATCGAATATTTATTAAACAGATTTTTATTTATTCATTTCGACTAATTAAAATTTGTATTCAATCAATATTCAACTAATAAGTTTTGTAAATAAATATTATGTTAAATATTATCGATAAAATAAAATTTTTACTGAATAAATATTTAATTAAAAAAAATTCGTATTGAATAAATATTTGATTGTAAAAATTCGTGTTGAATAAAAATTTGATTGAAAAAAATTTGATTGAAAAAATTCGTGTTGAATAAAAATTCGATTGAAAAAAATCCGCACTGAATAAAAATTTCAGTGCAAAAATTCGTATTAAATAAAAATTCCGTTGAGTAACTGATAATATTATTATTAATAATCTATTTTAATTAAAAAACTTCCATCGAATAGATATTCAATGGAAAAAAATTCATTTGGGTAAAAATTTAAAATGAAAATAACAAAAAATATATTAATAACAAAAAATTCCCTATCAACTTTTCGTCACATAATTATTAAATTAAATTCAAAATTGCAAAGTGTGTAGATTCGAAATCAATAAAGTGCACTTTCATTTACCCTTCGGGACCTGTTTGAGAGGTGTATAGTGTCTATAAATATTTTATAGTTTCACGTTTAATGACACTAATTATCCATGTATAATTGGTTTTAAATTTATGATGAACTTTTAATGTAAATTTAATTAAATGCCGAATTTTTTTTTAATTTCTTTAAATTTCAATTAAAAGCAAAGAAAAATAGGAATTATATTTATATTTTTAATGATATTATTAGTACAGTGGTATTATTTTTTTTCTCTTCTTTATAGCACGAATTAGATACAGTGCAGCAGGTAAAGGAAGAAATAGAAGAGTTACGAGAATATGTCGAGCGTCTAGAAGAGCATACGCATAGGCGAAAACTTCGACTTCTAGAACAGGTATTTGAAAGAATAAATTTCAAAAAAGAATTTATAATTACAACGAAAATATTTTTTCTTAAATTAAATTTTTAATGTTATTATTATTTTAAAAACACTGCTTTAATTTTTGTCTGCAATTTCAAATTTTTAACTGTTTTATTTAAATTAAAATATACAATAAATAAAAATTCATAATTTTTTTTATTATAAAACCATATTTCTATTTATCTAATTATTATAGTTAATTTAATTAATATCAATTAATTAGGGGAGAGTTGTCAGGGTTGGGCAGTGTTTAGGGTTGAGCCACCGCGTTTATTTCTTTTTATCACACTAGCGCCATCTGTCTTTCAGGGTGTCTAACGGTCAGGGAAATGTCAGGGAATGGCAGAACATTTCATTGAAAGTCAGGGAAATTTATAAAAAAGTTAAAATTTTTTGTGAATGAGGCATTTCACGTCAGAAATATCACGATTTGCAAAGGGTCAACCAATTTTCGCAAAAACTTCGTAGGATTATAGTTCTATATAAGAGACTTCTTTCCCCCAAATTTTTTCAAAAAAAAATTCAAAATTGTTGAAGATACGCCATTTTGAATTTAAATATTAATTTTATAAAAGTTTGAATATCTTGGAATATTGTTTATGGATTTTTATGAAATTTACACATGCAAATAAAGTTATTAAAAAAAATTAATTTTTAAATAAAAAAATTTAAAAAAATTTTTAAACAATTTTTTTTTTTTTACTTAACTGGGTCCGGAGATATTGAAGTTTTTGTAAAAAAAGCGTCGCCGCGCCATAGCACCATACTGCACAAGTCGCGTCGTACGTTACCGTAGTCGTGCATTGCTGCTGCAACTAGGCCTATTTTTTACAAAAACTTCAATATCTCCGGACCCAGTTGAGTCTCCATCAGTTTTTTTTTATGAAATTAAAGGTGAATTCATAAGGAATTCAAATATGTTAATAACATTTTTCTCAAAAAGGAGTAAATAAACAAAAAATTGTCTAAAAAAATTAAAAAAATTTTTTTTAATAACTTTATTTGCATTTTAAAGTACATACTTTTACCTGAAAAATGTGTAAATTTCATAAAAATCCATAAACAATATTCCGAGGTATTCAAAATTTTATAAAATTAATATTTTAATTCAAAATGGCGTATCTTCAACAATTTTGAATATTTTTTGAAAAAATTTGACGGAAAGAAGTCTCTTATACAGAACTATAATCCCACGAAGTTTTGCGAAAATCGCTCAGTTACCATATTTTTATCCCAAGAAAGCAAAAATAAAATTAGTAAAAAGTCATGGAAAAGTCAGGGAATTTTTTTCTCAATCCTTGTTAGACACCCTGTCTTTGTACGTAAATTCTTGCTACTAATGTCAGCAAACTTTTCACATGAGTCGCAGTGAAGTATAAAAATTGTTCATTAAGATGATATGTGAAAATGTGTAAAGTATTTTAGTGTTTGTGTCACGCGTTTGTGTTCTATGTGAGTCAGCGTTGAGCCATGAGGGAAATTTTGCAATTACAAAGCGTACTTGCAACAGAAATTCATTTTTTCATATAAATAGGTGTTAAAAACTTCATTTCCATTGAAAAAAGAGGAAAAAAAAATTTTTGATAACCTTTTTTCATTTTTTCAATTTTGGATTTCGTTCATGAGGAATAAAATATCTAAAGTTATATGAAAATGCATAATATGGGATTTTATTTTAATTTCATGGTTCCGTTCCTCATACCCAAGTGTCATTCTATCATTTGAAAGTCATTTTTAATCATTTACCTAAATATTTCATTGATTTTCTACAGTGGCTCAACTCTGACTACCATGTTCAACCATGGCAACTTTTTTTTTAAATTGCTTATAACTCAGAAACTTTTGGTCAAATCTTTTTACAATGTTCAGCAAAAACATCCAACAATATGCGCAAAATCGCGAAATTCGTTCTACAGGGGAAGTTATGAAGAAAAGTTATAACTATGCCCAACCCTGACAACTGTCCCCTATATATTTTATTTTCTCATTGTTTTTTAATTTCCTTAATTATTTATTTTATTTTCTCAATTTTTTTTGTTTACTAAATTATTTATTTTATTTCCTTAATTATTTACTTTAATTTTTCAATTCAAATTTAAGTTGCAAATTTTAATTAATTAAATCTGTATTACTGGCACAATTTTACTTCATTATATTTCTCACTGTTTCAGATTCTTGTTTTAATTACTACAGCGGAAATATTCGACACATTTTAGTTTCTATAATTTAATTTAAGTTGAAACAAGCAATTATGTTTTTAGTTTTATGTACATATTATTTTTTAATTATCACTTTATGTATTTTAACTTTCTAAGTTTCAACGTGTGTACCATAATGTTTATATAGATAAACATTTATTCGCTATACTGTCTACACTTTATTGTTTACACATTTTGTTATTACGTTTATAATTTAATATTTAATTTTGTTTTTATAATCACTCTACCAAAATAAAAAATTTTTACTCAATAAATTTTAGGTTTCACTCTTTTATTTTTGTTTGTCAATTAGGATTAATTTTAATTTAAAAAAAAACTAAAAAATTCCAATGAAGAAATTTTCTTGGAAATAGACACGAGAAGGTTTTGTACAAAAAAATTAAAGCAAGTTTTTTTTCTACTGACCTACTCTTAGAAATATATTAAATAAGCGGAATGATTTTTATCATTCTAATGACCCCGACTGTGTTTTTATCGAGAAAAACAATTAAAGAAGCAATTTTTACAAAGAAAGTATGTTGTAAAAGAAATTAAACGTTAATAAAAACTTTAATGTAACTCTATATATTATATATTATAATTTAGAATTTACAATTACAAAATATTAATATGAATGAATAAATAAATAACTGCAGATAGAAATTAAAAAAAATTTTTTTATAGTTTAAAAATATATATTATGAAAAAAAGTGAAACGAATAATTTAAAAATCGTTAAAAATATCGTAATAAACAAAGCCAATTAATTTGCGCTGATATTTGCTTTATATATAGAGAAATAATAATTTTAATTTTGATGTACGTTATATTTATCCACATTTCATCGTCTCCCTTAATGAAATATTAATTCCAATTTGTAAATGTGCACACCAGTAATTTCATTGCTTTATACAGATATAAATAACGTACACGTATATTAATTAAAATATATCTTCTTTTTAACAAACGAAAAAAGAATTTATTAATTTATTTGACAATTTCATTTACTAAAGCTCCGCGTATTATTGGATTTGTTATTTGGAAAATATTTATAAATAAATTATGAATAATCTATTTATAAATTTTTTCCTCCAATTATCAACGTGCGAAATTATTTATTTCATTATTATAGAAACCTTATGATTGTGTGTTTCATTCATTTTATTAATTTCTTTGATTCATTATTTCATTTATTTGTTCGTTCAATTTATTATTAGTTTAGTTATTTTATTATTAAAAAAACAATAATTTAACTATATTAAAAAAGTGTAGTTTTTTTCAATGTTTTATTTGTTTAAACATTTTATTATTTGTTTAATTAATAATATAGTTATTATTAGTTTAATTATTTTCTTATTAGTTTAGCAATATTAATTTAAGGAATATACAAATATTTTTAGGAACTTTGAATTAATTTGTTAAATATTCATTTTTATTTATTTCTCTATCGTAATTTTGCGTTAAAAAAAAAAATTGTGGGGAAGTTGAATAAAAAAATAATTAATTTTTCTATATTTCAGGGGTTGACGTTTTTCCTTTCGTATGCTATACTAGCAGCGGTGCTGGGAATGCTGCAGTTCGGATACAATACTGGCATCATAAATTCACCGGAAAAGGTATTTTTTACAATAAATATATTTCGTATTTTCGAATTTTTTATTTTTTTAATTTTTCATTTCTTTCGATATTTAAAATTTTTTTAAAACTTTTTATAATAGTTATATTTTATTATTTTTATATATTTTTTATGTATCATTTTATATTTAACAGTAACACAAATTGATGTATTTATTTAGAAAATAAATTTATATAGTCTCCAGTTGTGAGACTGGTTTTATTTTTGACCCGTAAATTGTAAACGGGTAAACGAAATTGTAAATAAAATACACCGTTCGAAAGGTAACAGAAATACGCAACTTTTATTAAAAGAAAGTGTAGTGTTTTGATGAACTCAAAAAATTTTACGATACATTTTCCGAGCTTTTGTAAAAAAAATGTCTCCAGTTGTGAGACACTCATTAAAAATTGCTAAAATTTAATAAGTTTGACATAAAACGTTATGTTTAGTAGAAATAATTAAATATATTAATAATATATATTATTATATACTAAATAATAATATTTATTCGCCAAAATATGACTATCAAATAAACACAATTTAATAGCTTCAACAAGAGCATTAAAATGAACTATGACAGAATAGTTAGTCTAACTGTAAAATGTGGTAATAAATACCATTTTTACAGTAAATTTAACTACTAAAACAGTTATCTTAACTATTTGTTGTTACCCAGTGAGAAATTGCCAATAGACTTTAATCGGTCCAATATCGGTCCAATATTGGTTGCCGTGCTGGGCGCCGATTTACTCCCAATATTGGACTAATATGGGCTGATGCTTGGGATGTAACGGCATCGCCAATCATCGGTTGTCAATATTGGTCCAATATTGGCCGAATATTGGCAACCAAGAGAAAAAAATTTTTTTAAATAAATTTTTTTTAATTAAATAATAATAATAAAAAATTAATGTTTATAATTTTTGTTTAATATATTTATTTGTTTAATTATTTATTTTTAATAATTCATGTAAATAATAAATAATTTATTAATAATAAATTATAATTATTTAAAAATGCAGCAGCTATTAGAAAATAGCATTCTGCAAAAAAATTCTATCATTGAAAAATCAATGATAGGCGAGAGATATCCGCGTCATTAAATAGATTCGCAGATGATAGGCAAGAGATATCCGCGTCATTAAACGGATTCGCAGATATACTCTGGTCTCGCGACGAATCTCTCGATACTTATATACACTGGAGTCGCCGTGTCAGTTGCGAGAACGGTTACAGCGTCCCTCTTGCGGCAGAGATAAGAATTGTCACGTAAACTGCTAAATCGCTTTACCGACGGCCTTATTATACCCGCAGTTTACGTGACAATTCTTATCTCTGCCGCAAGAGGGACGCTGTAACCGTTCTCGCAACTGACACGGCGACTCCAGTGTATATAAGTATCGAGAGATTCGTCGCGAGACCAGAGTATATCTGCGAATCCGTTTAATGACGCGGATATCTCTTGTCTATCATCTGCGAATCTATTTAAAGACGCGGATTTCTCTCGCCTATCATTGATTTTTCAATGATAGAATTTTTTTGCAGAATGCTATTTTCTAATAGCTGCTGCATTTTTAAATAATTAAAATTTATTAATAATAAATTATTTATTATTTACATGAATTATTAAAAATAAATAATTAAACAAATAAATATATTAAACAAAAATTATAAACATTAATTTTTTATTATTATTATTTAATTAAAAAAAATTTATTTAAAAAAATTTTTTTCTCTTGGTTGCCAATATTCGGCCAATATTGGACCAATATTGACAACCGATGATTGTCGATGCCGTTACATCCCAAGCATCAGCCCATATTGGTCCAATATTGGGAGCCTTTATTGGACCGATGATCGGTCTCTTGGCTCCCAATATTGGACCGATATTGGACCGGTGAGAAATTTCTCACTGGGTAGTCATACTAACTGCTTCATTTAGTTGTAGTAACTAAATTTTCATAGTTCCTATAGGCGCCCGTAACAAATTGTAGTTGTAACAACTGTAAAAAATAGTTAAATTAACTATTTAAAGTAGTAAAATGAAATTATTTATTTGTTTTTTATTATTATTGAGGTCCATTTTTTTATATTTTCTCTTACCTATTTTTGTTCATATATAATTTATATATTAAATTCTTATACACCTAACAGAGAAAAATCCCCAAACGCCGGGGATTGAACGCACGACCCTAACATTCGCAAACCGATAACCTAACCACCTAACCACGCTCGCACGCTACGATGACTGGCATTGTACTTGAGGACATTCTTCTTAGATTCAGTCATAATAGGTTTGTTCTCGCTAGCTACACTTTCTACACTTTGTACAAAAGTGTACACTACGGCGTTCTCGTTACCAGAAGTGACGCAATAGTGTACACCTAACTCCCTAGAAGCCTCTGCACTTTTCCCTATTTTATTACACCCGATTGCGAACGAGTGTAATTGAGTGTTCTGATTAAAATGGCGGTAAAAGGACATTTTATTTAAAATGCATTAATTATTTTATGAACATAAAGTTATGATATATTTTTTAGTGACTTTCAATTTATAAAAATATTAGTAAGCAATTCTTATTTTGTTATAATATTTATATAAAGTACCACCTTATAAACAATTGACATTGTAAAGCAATTTTTAAATAATTATTCTCCCATTCATTAAAACCAAACTTTATTTATAGTGAATTAAAAAAAATTCCTCAATTTTATGATGGTAAACATATTTTTTAAAAAATAATAGAATTTATGAAAAAAATTAAGTTTGAAAGATAACCTTTAGAATATTTCAAAACATGTCGCTTCCGTTTTTCTTAAAACTTATGTGAAAATGAAGCTTAAAAATTCTAGTTTTATTTTCTGTAAAAATGAGCAATTCGGTTGAAATTAAGAAATTAATTAAATTTTACAAAGATGTCAGAGTTTAAACTGTGTAAAAATTTGAAAAAAATTAATTCCGCTCGGTACATATACATTTAACCTTCGAAATTCTTGTAAAATTGAATAATTATCCCAAATTTTCATGAATTGCCCATTTTAATGTTTACAGGTAATAATGGGAATAAATCCTATTATTTGAAAAAAAATTTACCATCATAAAACTAAAAAATTTTTCTTTTAAAATCACTAATAGTAAATAAATTTTGGCATTAATAAATAAGATAAATAATTATTTAAAAAATTGCTTCACAATGATAATTGTTTATAAGGTGGTTTGTTTTGAAATAAAATTTCAGATATAAAATTTTTTCGTGCACTTTCTCTAGACTTTTGCGTTCTCGCTAGATTTTGTACTTTGTTTAAGTGCGCATGCTCCGTTTTACACTCTTGTTACACTCGAGTGTAGCAGTGTAGCTAGCGAGAACAAACCTACCCAGACAGCACGTAAGCTTGCAGCAAGCTTGAGGCAAGCTTTCCGTGCAATATTTGCAGTATTGACGTGCAAGTTTGCGGCAAGCTTGCCACAAGCTTAAAATGTCTCACTTATAGCAAGCTTTATGTGCAAGTTTGCTGCAATATTGCACTACAAGCTTGCAGCAATATTGCACTAAAGGTTGGCGCAAACTTAATGTAATCTTATATGGAAATTGTTTATTATATAAAATTAATAATTTATTATTAGCAACAAATTTATATTTAATATTTTAAATTTTTATTAAACATTAAAAAATTATAACAACGTTATAATAATAATGTTATTAATTTCCCCAAAGAATTGGAGTTGGGAACTATTATCCATGATCAGTGGATAATAATTAAAAATTGTCACCGTCGTAGCAGACGTTAACTATACACATTATCATTTAAGATAATATGGTGAAAAGCCTGTTCAGCGGACCGATACTTATACTCTGCGCGAGACAAGTCGTGCGCGAGAGAGGTATTTCTTGCCATCTAGCAAGGAATTGGAAAACTAATAAAAGTTTCTCTTATAATTCTCTAATTCCCTGGTAGATGGCGAGAAATACCTCTCTCGCGCACGACTTGTCTCGCGCAGAGTATAAGTATCGGTCCGCTGAATAGGCTTTTCACCATATTATCTTAAATGATAATGTGTACAGTTCACGTCTGCTACGACGTTGACAATTTTTAATTATTATCCACTGATCATGGATAATAGTTCCCAACTCCAATTCTTTGGGGAAATTAATAACATTATTATTATAATGTTGTTATAATTTTTTAATGTTTAATAAAAATTATAAATATTAAATATAAATTTGTTGCTCATAATAAATTATTAATTTTATATAATAAACAATTTCCATATAAGATTACATTAAGTTTGCGGCAACCTTTAGTGCAATATTGCTGCAAGCTTGTAGTGCAATATTGCAGCAAACTTGCACATAAAGCTTGCTATAAGTGAGACATTTTAAGCTTGTGGCAAGCTTGCCGCAAACTTGCACGTCAATACTGCAAATATTGCACGGCAAGCTTGGCTCAAGCTTGCTGCAAGCTTACGTGCTATCTGGGTAATAACTACTCCGTTTAGTTGCAGTAACTAATTTTTTAAGCTTAAGGACTTAGTTGAAATGTAGCCAGCATATGATTTTAAATGACTCAACGATATTGCAGTAGTTAAAAGTACTGTTGAAAATAGTTATTTTCAGAATTTCTGTAGTAAAATTATCCACTTTTTACTAGTTATAAAAAAATTAAACTTACTATTTTCATATAGTAAAAATAACATAAAAATTGTTACTTTTATGACTTTTGTAGTTATAAAAATAAATGTTTCTTACCACCATAGAGATAAATTATTAAAAGCTAGTAAGAATAATTGGTTCTTTTAACTACATTAAACACAAAAATAACAAATTCCAGCGGTTGTTCTTACTCTTTGGAACAGTAAATTTTAATTTATTTTGCAAATAGCAAGAAATGGATATTTCTACTACAGAAATTCCGAAAATAACTATTTTTAACAGTACTTTTAACTACTGCACTATTGTTGAGTTATTCACAATCATAACGTGTAGTAGTAATTTTAACT